TGTGATTATACTCGTTATTTTCGTCTTTGTATTGGGCTTACCATTACTGGTTTAAATCTTTCCTATGCTGGTTTATTGCTATTGCTATATATATCAATATGGTTTTGCGTTCTCATTGTAGAGTGTTCGGTCTTATGCGATTTCAGATATTTTTTATTTTTCAATGAGAAAATCTCTGAAATTGCGTAAGTCTGGGCACTCAATCTGGTTTTGCCTCAAATTTGCCTAATTTATTATTATTTCAGGTTATATCTCGATTTCACCTGTCTTTGAATTATGTAAGTACGTGCATACATGTATTTGTGTTTTACTTATTATAGATTGTACGAAATCTGAAAAATGTATTACGTACTATTTGCGTCAAACTAGATTAAACTGGATCTAATGTTGATTATTAACTAAAATATTAAAATATACCCAAACAGCTTATCGTGATTAATATTGAGTACAGGTTATAGTACTGGTACTGTAGTATTAATAGCAAACTGTGAATTAGTTATGTTACAATAATTGATCTAAAAAGTATATTTATTGGTTAAATAGAATCGTTATCTGATTTATATTAAAACACGTTAAGGTTCATTGAGAAATTATAAGAGAAAATCTTATGACATTAGTATCTAAGCCTGGAAGACAATAAATTATTATATAACCTTTTTGGTCCATTTTCAAAAATATATTATTCCTAAGATTAGATTCAATGATCAATAATACTTCGTAAGGTTTACTATTGATAAAAATAAAGAAATATGAATTGATAATTTGTCTTTGTCCTTTTTTTTTTTCTTTTTTTTTTTTTTTTTTTTTTTTTTTTATGTACATATATATATGTGTAACTTTTGACAAGTTGACAAGATAATTCATTCTTTCTATATCATAATTCCACTTGCATTCAATTATTGAAAAATGCCTTCTCATATCGCTCTTGTTGTAGTTATCATCTCTGTGAAAAGTAGTCAACTATGTTCGTATGGTCTTGCAAAATACAAGCTTTCTAATGAAATATCATAGATGATTCATTGGAAGTATTTTTTTCCCGCAAATAATCAACCTCAGATAATCACGGCTGGTGATATTGTATTTTTTTCTAGAAAATATGTAGTTGAGAATTCTGATCAATGTCTTACTGTCGCATACGCGAGTGTTCTAGATACTGGAAATCCTAATTGTGAATTCGATACTACTAGCGTTCTTTATGTATTCCTCATGGTATGTTTCCCAGATTTGTGACTTGAATTCCAAAGGATGTTGGTGATTTTATCCATTTTGGTGTAGAGTGCGTTGAGTATAATGCTGTTACTAGGACGCCTAATGTTAAAATGCAGATAACTGTTCTTTACTCCTCTCAATCTGTGAGATTTCAAAAATATTTGGGTCCTTCGGGTTCAAATATTAAATTAGGTAATACCTATTTTATTTCTGGGCTTATCAAATTTTCGACATCTGGCAAAATGATGTTAGAAGCAACTGATGTAGACTATTTAAAGACCCTAAACATGAATTATAACGTATCCGAAAGTTCCTCTTCTACGGGACCAAGTACTCGAACAATTATTGACATCATTGCTGATGATGTCGAATCTGTTACTGCTCAAAAACAGGAAGAACACATGGATTCTTTAGTTAAATATGATACTACTGCCACTCGTAAGTCATCTGAAAACTTGTCAGAGATTATTAATGCTGATGCAAAAAGTAATCCATCTCATGGAAGAAAAAAATTTGGTCAAATGAATTACGTCGATTTGGATACTGAAGAAGACAAAAAAGAAATACTATCTGAACATGAAGATAAAGTTACCGACTTAAATGAAGAAGCAAATAGTCAAGAGGAGAATAAAGAATCTGAAGATCATCAGCCTAAGAAAAGAAAAAGAAGTATTAGAACAACCTCGAAAAAAAAAAAAGAATGTCGAAAAACGATAAATGATTAACATGCAAAAATAAAATTTTAATAGTTTACTACATATTTTACTTATTATTTATATAAAGTTCATAAGTTTAAATCAAATTATAATATTATTAAATATTGTGTAATTTAAATATTTTTCTTATAAAAAATAATCACT